AAATTAGTTTCCTGACACACTGCATTATGAATGGCATGAGCTATTGCATAAACAGCCTTGTACACCATGTTAGTGATTCGGAGCTGAGATGTGTCAGTGTACGGGATATGGATCATATGTATGTCATCAATTCCAACACATACACTTTTATCTGTGGCTGCACCTGAAAGAACACAGACAGATTGTCTTTGAAAATCTTTGAAAATTATATTATCATTCCTTCTTATGTTTTTTTTTTTTTTTGACCTGACAAACTTGGGTTATATCTAATTTTATGTGTCAATATTGCATAAAACATGCTTATTTCACAGTACATGTCAATGGATTATTTTGCACACATCTCAATTTCTAATTTTTCTTTTCTTTTTTTCTTTTTAATCATTGGAACTTGAGTTTTGTCAGCCCTTATGGGGTTTTTTACCTTCATGTATTCCATCTTGAGCTTACAACCAAAAGCCATTAGACAATAAGAAACATTTATAAATGTTCACCTGTTTTAATGCATTTAAAATGAATCATTCTTAGTAAAGTAAAGTACAAGTTTGTATCTTTACTGAGCATCGTGGCATAGAAACTGTCTGTACACAATTTCCTCACTTTTTCTCAGCCTGCAGTTGAATGTATCCTCCCAGAACTCAGTAAGCACCGGAGAGGCAGCAACTTTAGAGGGAGAGAGATCCAGCAGGAAGTCTCTCAGACCTGGGATGACAGATTTCTCAATGGCAAATCCAATGGCTCCAGCACAGAAGCTGAACCTCAGCATGTCTTGGTCGGTTACCCAGGCCTCACTGCCTATCCACTGGCGAGGTGGAGAAGGCTTGAGTGACAGCTCCTCCAGCAGAATCTTCAGGTCTCCAGGGGCTGTAAATGCCACAACAACCATAGCTGTCGACCTGGAGAGACATAATAATGCATTATCATATTTTTTTCAACATGAATACAGACATGAGAGTTGCTTTAATATTTGGTCCCACTGACTGTATGTTTGTAACAATATCAGTAATACGTATGTCAGAAATAACCTGGAAAATGATAAATGGTCAATTTGAAACTAATAAAACAATCCTCCATCATATACTGAAAATAACATTTTATATGGTGTTGTGTGTAGTAGGCCAGTGTCACCACCAGGAACAAAAGCAAAATCAGTGATGTAGAAACCTGCGGATAACATCAGCCACTCTCTGGATCCTGCTGCGTGGGTGGGTCCGATAGAAAGATTCAGAGTATTCCACACAGATTCCCTCTTTGTGTGCTGCGTCCAGGAAAGACGCCATGCCATTATTGCCATAGTCTGAATCTGACCTGACAGCACCTATCCATGTCCAGCCAAAGTGTTTTACCAACTTGGCCAGAGCGTCAGCCTGAAACTGGTCACTAGGGATTGTCCTGGAGAAAGTTGGGTACTGCTGCTTATCTGACAGACATGCACAAGTGGCAAAGTGGCTCACCTAAATGAAAACAACAGTGTAATTATTCAACAGGACATCAAAAAATCTGTGCTGTATATTTAACACACAATTTTCCAGAAATCAGAATATTTACTTGAGGAATGTTAAAGGACCCAATGATGCGGGAGATGCTGATGGATGGCGTGGACCCAGACTCAGCAACGACACCCATCACCATACCAGAGTGTGAGCAATTGTCACGGGGGTAAAACACTGTGTCCAGGCTGCTTGAAACCTGGAATGCCACATGCACAGCCACAGGCACTGACGCACACGAGTCATAGATCTGATAACCGAGCTTGATGCCAGGAAGCAGCTCTGTGCTGTTGTTAATCTCCTCGATGGCAAAAATCATTGCACGTGCAAAGCGCAGTTCACGGGAGAAAATGCTGCAAACACTCTTGTCATTGTTCAAACTTGAAAAGGACACTTCACAATTAAGACAGAAATACATAATATAGGAGAACTGCAATGCATAGTTATGAGCAGTAACTTATTGCTGCATGTGCCTCTTTAAAACAAATACAGACCTACATTAAAGAGTTGCCTGAACAACAAAGATTAAAACACAAGGACAGATATCAGTCAAAACTCCACATGAACTGTAAAGTATGGAGGAACAATAGTCTATAGTCTTATGTATTCATTCATTCATTCATATTAATTATTACCTTGTTAATATTTCAGTTAAACACACCAAAACATTCAGAAAATAAACACAAAAAAGTTTTTTTGTTCATATAATCTCCTAATCTTTACTATTTTTGTGAATATAATACCTGAAGTTCTCACAGAAAATATAGAATTGTCACTGATTATGAAAATAAATAAATTCTTTGCTTTAACATTTTCAGTACAAAAGCTTTGTGGCACAATTGTCAGGTCATCATGCAAAACATTTTCATCTCCACAGTCTAACATACTCTTGTCCTCCTCTTCTCACTCTTACTCACCTCCCTGTGCACCTTAGTGGTTCAGGCATGGTGGTGTAGTTGTGCTTAACTGTATGCATGTAGGCATGCATGGAGAAAACACCCCCAATAACATAGTCACCATCCATTGAGAAGGCAGGTAGACGAGTGGTACCCTGAAGCTTACACTTCACAGATGAAGCCTCAGTGTTGAACCCAGCCCCAGTCCTAACCTCTGTAAACCCAACCTTTTGTTTCATACGATACCCAGAACCATTCAAAGCAAGAGCTGAGTTCAGCTCACACAGACCAAGAGACAGCATCAGGCCAATAAAGAGAGCTGAGATCTCCATCCCTCAACTCTCTGCATGTGATCATACTGTGTGTGTTGACATTAGTTTATATAGATTTTCAGACAAATAATTCCCTCATCCTACTTTACGTCAGTTTACAATACAGCAGAGAGAGGATTCTCTTACCAGAGGTGGGGGACTCATGTCACATGACTTGACTCGAGTCAAAGTGAAGTTGCAAATTTAAGGACTTGAGACTTGCTTGACTAACACTGATTAAAGAGTTGACCTAACTTTGACTTGGTATTCATGAATTGAGACTTGAGACTTGACTTGAGACAGATGCCTTGAAAGGACTTGACTTTTTATTCAACATTTGTGTTTTTCTGGGTTACAAGATACATTTTGTTTAAAAAATATGATAATGCATATGCGTGCCCACGCTACCACAGCTCTGTCCCCCTGCCCAGAGCTCTCCTTGGAGGAGTGACAGTATGTATAGCGACATCATGAACCTCACCGTGTTCTTTTATTCGGTTCTATCTGCGTGATACATGTGAGTTCAGTATTAAACATGCTTTACGACCAACGGCACACTGTCAGCTCTGTGCTGTTATGCACACACAGTCACCACTGTGAGAGCCGATACATGTGGCAGGCTCTCATTTGTATGATGTTTTGATACTGCCACAGTGTGTAACGACTGTTCCTGCCTGCTGACTGAACATAAGTTCACTGTGAGTGTATGTATGTGCGCTTGTTGTGCGCATCCGTGTGTCATGACAGTTTCTCCAGTGACTTTTTCGGCCTCCCGTTCCTGCTCAGTTTGCATTTGGGGATTTTAACAGTGGGTTATTATATCGCCTGCTCTCTCACAACAGGAAGCAGCTCCGTGCTGGTATTTTATTTTTATTATGGGTTAATCTGCTGATTATTTACCATTAATCTATTGGTTTGTAAAAATTCCAATTCTAATTCTAATAAAAAATCAAAACAGCAAAAAAAAAAAA